AAACTGATTATCTGGATCCTTTTCAGTCTGGCTTCAGACCCGGGTACAGTACTGAATCTGCCTTGGTCGCCCTGTACGATGACCTGTGCAGGGAGAAGGACAGGGGGAGTGCATCCCTGTTGGTTCTCCTGGACCTCTCAGCGGCTTTTGATACCATCGACCATGGTATCCTTCTGGATAGGCTAGCGGGATTGGGGGTTGGAAGCACTGCTTTGCAGTGGTTCCGCTCCTATCTCAATGACCGATTCCAGAAGGTGGTGCTGGGGGACTATGGCTCTGCACCATGGCAGCTATGCCATGGAGTACCGCAGGGGTCCATTTTGTCCCCTTTGCTGTTTAACGTCTACATGAAACCGCTGGGAGAGGTCATCAGGAGGTGTGGGCTGTGGAATCATCAGTACGCTGATGATACCCAGCTCTACCTCTCGTTTTCCACCAATCCAGGTGAGGCAGTGGCTGTGCTGAACCGGTGCCTGGCCGAGGTAATGGGCTGGGTGAGGGCCAATAAACTGAGCCTCAATCCAGATAAGACGGAGGTACTGTTGGTGGACGGTGTGGGTCTCCAGGTAAGTGATTTTGACCCAGTTCTGAATGGGGTAGCACTCCCTCTTAGGGACAAGGTCCGCAGCTTGGGAGTGCTCCTTGACCCAGAGCTTTCACTGGAAGCTCAGGTGACAGCAGTGGCAAGGAGCACTTTCTTTCAGCTTCGGCTGATCCATCAGCTGCGCCCCTACCTGGAGTACGACTGCCTGGCGACAGTGACACACGCGTTGGTGACTTCCCGCCTTGACTTCTGTAACGCGCTCTATGTGGGGCTACCCTTGAAGACGGTCCGGATACTTCAATTGGTTCAAAATAGAGCTGCCAGGCTGCTGACAGGGACTGGGCATTATGTTCACATAACTCCAGTCCTCCATCAGCTTCACTGGCTTCCCATTGAAGTCCGGGCCCAATTCAAGGTGTTGGTGATGACCTATAAAGCCCTAAATGGCTTGGGTCCTGGTTACCTGAAGGAGCGCTTACGTCCATATATGCCCGCCCGCCCCGAGATCTGCGGGAGAGGCCCTTCTCCAGGAACCCTCCGTGAAGGAAA